TTAATGTCCCTCCCTGTGTCACGCAAATCCCCCCGTGCCGCAAGAAAAGAGGGGTAATTCATCCTTAGAAAGCAATGTTTCTATCCACGCGTTGTTTTTATACTGTTTTCATAGATACTTATGTTTTCTACCTTCTTCTATAGGCGTAGGCACCTCTCCTTACAAAAATTACACTATTGTTGTTGCATCCGCGTTGATGCAAAAAGACGCCTTTTCTAGAGACAAGCAATGGCACCGCTGCAGATAGCCTCCATCAAGCTCTAATACAACCCCATACTGATAAATATAGCTTTATACACTGAGGCAACCTTCAGCTATGCTGAGGAGCCAATCCCAATCTTTGGTGTGGTGTGGCGCCCATTTTCATGCGTGATCGCCACCCCTGTTGGTACTTCTGCGGCGATCAGCTTCCGCATATGGCTAGTTAAAGTCCATTTACGGCGTAATTTTCTCCGCGCCAAGCTTGTGGCTTCGAAGCCTTGTGGCTGTGTAAACCGGAATCCTGTCAGCAAGTTGAAGATCACGTGGTAGTCAGCGTTGGCTTTATAAAACAATCTCTCTTGTATTATAATAGCGCCTCATTAGTCTGATAACTAGGATAGACCCAAATTCCGTAGTTGCCAATCGGTCAATATGTAACAAACGTTATGTAATCAACTATATTTTTGCAACAGGTGTAATCCATAACGGTCCTATGCCTGGCTGACGCAGCCTAGGCATAGTGTTAGTTAGCACCGGACCGTCAGCCTCTTCACCTTCTCCTTGCAGATTCGCACCCGCATAAGAAGTCAGCAGCAGAACTATTGGTGTGATTGGTTAATCTTCGATTTCCTGATGAATGGACTTTTGGAACGCTGCCTATAGGGGTGAAGCCGTAATCGCTAATGACAGTATTCTCACGCCCCGAGATATTTTTATGTAAGCACTACAAAAACATATATTTATATATGAAGTGAATTTACGGCAGCTGTTTTGATAGGTTATGGGTGGAGTCTAAGGCCTCTGCAATTACTTATAACATCCTTGGCTCAGCTCTTCATCTTCTTTCCACGAGTATAGGGTGGTCAGACTGAGCACGACCTAATCTGGCCCGATCAGAACGCTGATATGAATATTCTCTCGCAGAAGGACGTGACCTGTACACAAACATTGGCCTCTGATGGTGATCATAAATTAAAATTATCCGATATCTCACATAGTGATTTGGAGCCAGAGGTCATCCAAAAAATCCTCATCGCGCTTCTGCGGGAGGCTAAAAAACAATCTGGAGCGGTTGTTCCTGATCGAGAAAAGACTATAGTCTCTTGCAAAGGGGTTGTCTATGGCATTGTATGGGAGCCCTTCACCGGCGGAGTTTTCGATAGGGCACGACCGAAGAGTGCCTTGGACGCTACTCTGTACAGATGTCTGTTGTCTATGAAACATTCGACAATATATCGACGTACCCGGATATCGCGTAGCACGGAGGAACCGCTGGTTTCTCAGTCATCATTCTCCCGCCAAGACATCGCATCATCATATGAAGCGCTTGCAGGAGAATCACTGAGAGACATAATCCAAGGAATCCGCAGAATAAGAATACAGAATTTCCTAGTTGAAGAGACCGAGTTTGACAATGCAGAGGAAAAACGATTAAGGAAGGAGAAGCAGAGGAATGCAAAGCGAAAACGAACTAACAATGACGGTGCAGCTGGAGAGGACCAACAGAAGAAGAGAACTAAACGAAAGAAGACTGATGGTTAACAGGCTATACGCATACCTAGTATGTGATGCTACGTGAATCGGCCCCCGAAACACGCCAAAATAGGGTTAGCGTTAGGGTTACGACGGCAAAAGTTGCGTGGGCCACAGGAACAGGACAGGGTCTTGGTGGAGGGCAACTGGTGCTCTCACTCAACTCCCTCCGCCTCTCACCCCCTTCTTAGCCTTGCTCCCCTCCCCATCGAGTCGTATTTGTATAATACGCTTCTCTGCGTACTTGAGTTATTAATAGCTATAAGCGTTCTCTATCTATAGAGCTACCCATCTGGGACAGTCGCATCCAGAACGCAGAGAGCAGCATGGCAGTAGTCTCGGTAGACAACGGCGATGATGTTTTCTGCTTTTTAGCTGGTTTTGGCGTTCTTGTTTGCAGGTAGTATGGCAGCAGCTTAGTAAATATAACTAATTAATTACTTAGTTAGTTACCAATCCATCAATACATTTTTGCAACAGGTGCCTTCCATAACAGTCCTGTGCCTGGCTGACGCAGCCCAGGCATGGTGTCAGTCAGCACCAGAGCGTCAGCCTCTTCACCTTCTCCTTGCAGGTTCGCACCTGCTATGTCTATCACCTCTTCTACCGGTGCTTTAGCAGAACTCTTAGGCTTGCGTCCTCTTTTCTTAGGAACCTTGGCAGCTGACGCTTTCTCCTCTTTCTCAGCACGCTTGGCTCGTGCCTCTTCAAGGTCCTCGAAGCTCATCACCTTCGCCTTCCCTAAGACAAGAGACCTGGTCGATCGCCGAATGTTAGCCTCCTTATTAGCATTTGTCAAGAATGCATTTTGATCTTGAAGGAGCGTTTGTTTTGCAAGGGATATCTTCGCTGCACTCGCGAGCTTCTGTACGTACTTTTGCAGGCGTTGTGTGCTCTGCTCGTCCCTGCATGCGCATCCTGTTTGATTAAGTTATGTAGAGACATTACAGCCTCTGTGGTTACTGGTGTTACAGGCGTTACAGGGGTTACAGGAGTTACAGGTACTTGCACTGCTTGTTGGTCTTGTGGATAAGCAAGCACGCCTGGAGCAGCTATCTCAGAAGGCGGTTTTGGCATCTTTCGAAGGACTCTCTCTGGGTTAAATGGGAACAAACCACTCGCGGCCCATGCGGCAGTGATATTCCTCTTGGTTATTGCCGTTTCCCTAGCAGGCTTATACACAGAAGTAAAGTGCTCCTTGCTAACAGCTTCTAGTCCTCCTCGACAGAGCCGCTCTACCTCGTCACGATAGGCGGTCTTAAGAGGGCCGAAGACCCCAACATCACAGGGCTGTAGCTTATGTGAGGTATGAGACGGCAGGCGGCACATAGTAATGTTGCTTGCGAAGCAAAACTCTAGGATCTCTAGAGTCTCATGCGTTCCAAAACCATCGCAAATTAGGACCCGGGGCTTTCCGTGAGCTCGTTCACTTGTTTGAGGATCGAATACACGGGTAAGCCACTCCAGGCTGATCTTTGAGTCGTTGTATCCGTTCTCGGAGTGTCCATAATGCCAGCCAGGAGTTGGGAAGGTAGTCCAATTACCTCTATGGGTCGAAGCCGGCCAGATAATGAGTGGCAGCAGTGACCTGCCATCAGCACTAATGCACTCAATAGCGGTTACCTGGGTGCGCTTGACGCCTGCTCCTCTGTAGTCACGGAGGTCGTCTTTGCTTACCAGGACTTTTACAGAGCCAAGCATGTTCAGCATGACGCCCGTCTCATCCATATTATACACGTTCTCAGGCCGTACCCTCGGGTCCTGCAAAACTCCCTTGATTACCTCAAACCAGTGTGTAACCTTAGTATAGATATTCCGTTCATGTCGTTGCCAGTCTATTGCCTTCACCTTCCTCCCTTTCAGTCTAGGGTTGCGTTTCTCAAAGGACCGAGCCCAGTTCTTGCCTGGGGGCTTGACAGGTTTGCCGGTCGTCGTCGTCCGTCGGCGTGCGAGACTAAAGGCTAACGAGGGTACATACTTGATTCGGACGGGCTGCCCAAGTTCAGACATCAGTAAAAGATACGCGACAAGGGCTTTCTCTTCATCTGGGGTGAGATATTGCTGGCCTTGGGCCTTCTCCCGTAGAGAAGGTCGTCCACGCCTGCGGTAGTACCGAGTATGATACGGAATAGCATCCTCCTGCAATGGGGAAGTCCTAGTTGTTGGAGCACTAAATGGAATAGCTTCTGTCAACATTTGCCTTGATTGGGCCATGTCTACGATTGTGTTGTTGTGAATACTGCCACTGAGGCCACCACGACAGACCCCCCCCCCCCCCCCTACAACACCGCCTAGAAGACAAAGACACTCGCTCTGATGCCAGAAATAGATTAGCACGTGATTAGATAGATGCTTCGAGAACCGGACGCCACACTTTGGCCCGAATGAGCCTAGTATGAACTGCTGCGCTATCCACGTAAGCACACGAAAGTTACACGCTAACGGAACAAGATCACGGCTAGAACTCGGACGATTCCGGAATATAACTTATTTAAAGAGAAGATATAGAATAAATGTAGAGATATTTTCTTCTATAGAAGCCCTATCGTTTAATACACTTAATATGTAGAAATGTTCTATGTATCCTGCTATGACAGGGGTGTGGAGCCTATCAGCCCTAGACTGGCCGATACGGAATGGGCGACGACAGGACCAAACACGCTGTAATATTTCCAACCGCCCTTCTAAGTTTGTAGAAAATAGGCTTAAGAATGAGTTTTTGGTTATCGCGGTGCAATACTAGCGATAGGGCGGGTTCCGAGATACTAAAATCGCAGGCTGTTTGCGGTACGGGGGGATTTGCGTGACATAGGGGGAGATGTTA